AAAAAAATAGTGTTGCAAACTGAACATTGTGTATTAGTAGACTAAAAGTATTAACATTAATAGCGGTATGTGATGGCTCAGTGGTTAAAGATGCTGAGCTTGTCAGCTGGAAAGTCAGACCGTGTTCGAGACCTGAGCACAGCGTGATGGAATGAACTCCTATCTTTGCTCCCTGCCCATCTAGTAGTTCAATAGCATGGAAATGCAAGTAGATAAATAGGTACCACTTAGGTAACAATATTCCATGTGCCTTGGGATAGTCATGCTGGCCCCGTGACCGTGGAAAGTGTCTTTGGACAACACCAGCTTCCTCATTAAGAAATGGAGATGAATACTGACTCCTAAAGTTGGACATGACTGGATGGGGGAAACCTTTACCTTTATTAATATTAATAATGATAAAATAATTATTTATACTATAACAATATCAAAGGCTCCCTTAAATGACTTACAATTATTATTTAGCATTAAATATGTATCTCCACTTTTCATCTAATTATTAAAATGATTAAAGTGATTTTAAAAACTGTTTAAAAACTAGTCAAAAGCAATACCCAAACTGCAACCAACTTGAAAAGGCCTGAACAGGTTTTGATTAATGTGAGTTTTATTCAATTATTGAAGGACTTCAGTGAAGAATCCAAATCAATATAAAACACTTTTAAGAACACTAGTTAACTATTATAGCCAACAACAGAATTAATGAACAATAAACAACACACCAATAATCAATGTACATGTTTGAATCTGAACTTGCTTCTGAAATGAAAGTAGTTCAACAGCCAGCTCAGTCTCCAGAAGAAAGACATTCCAAACAATGGATGGAAAGGCTCTCTCTTGAGACCTCATGTAATTTATAGCCATCAACTACAGGATGTAAAAGTCCAGCTCTTCAGAAAATATCCGGGCAGTTATATAAGCATCTAGCTGACTGATCCAGATTGCATTCAATTCCAGAGTCATCTTCAAAAGCATGTAGCATTTACTTCAGTAGCATAGGGAAAATTAATGGTACCTGGACTAAGTAGATATTTTATGTTAAAAATGTGTAAATGCGGACTAGGCTACTTCTGGTTCAAGAACTATCGGAAACTTCAAGGCCAGAAAGTCTGGTAAAGGATTCTGAGCTAGTATGGCCACTTTAGCTTTGAACAGCAACAATGAATCTAGGAGAACTTCTATTTCTGATCTTTCAGACAGATTCAGCCTTATCCAAAAGAGGTTATTACTGGAACTTGGAATATTTGTCCCCATATTTTAAGAATTCGGCTTTTATTGCCTTTTATCAAATATAGTACTTCAAACTTAAGTGGACTGGAAGAAGTTTGTAGGAAGGAAGTTTTTTGTATTTCTTCTTTCCAAACTATTGAATATTGAACATAAAAATGTCAGGCTTGCTACCTTAGCTGAAAGTTTGTGGATTTAAATGTACAAGTTTAAATATCAGATTTATACTGATACATCTTTCATATCTTTTGTGATAAAGTATTTTATCCATGGCTAGCCATTCTTCCCTAAGCCATTTGAAGGCTCTGTAACAGGACATCAATCTTATTATTATGTATAAATAAAGAAATAAATATATTTTGTGTACAACAATTGTTTATTCTCTTAAATGACAGTAAAACCAAAAAATGTAGATTTAAGCATTTTACTGTACTTTTCAATCAGGGTTCTAGACCTGCTGAAAAAAACTGTGCAGCCCTAAGCAAGCTCTTCATTTAGCATTCCTAAAAGTGTCATAAGGCTTTAATAAGACCCAGCTGTACAAACTCTTTCTGCTAAGCAGCTTCTGTTGCTTTGGTCACCACAGGTATCGCAGTAACCTGTAAACTCTTATAAGTAGTGTATCAAAGTTGTGCTACTTAATAGTTCTTAAGTAAAACATAACAAAGCTTTGACATGCTGCTTATTGTCAGTCATAAAAGAAGCTCCCTCAGATATAGTTTTTTAGAAGAGAGTACAGCACAAATTTTTACTATTGTAAAATAAAAGAAACCAGAGAATTAAAAAGAGACTAGAACAATATAACAGCATGTCATCAACTGAACTTAGCCACTGCAGATGGTTTACAAATAGGGTTTCCATCCACAGCAAGTTGTGGGATTAAAGGAAAGGAGGAGATTTTTCTTGTAAATGGCAATAGTATAAGATTAATCTCTTGTCCACGTATTTTGTTCCACTGAAAAAAACTATAGTTGCTCCATTTATAACTAGTTTTGAAACTACATTTATTTTAATTGTAATAAAAACAAATGAATGCCGGTAAATCTCAACCAAAATTGAAATTAAAATGTGTAAGTTTGTGAACTATTATGCAAGAACACTACATATTTTAATCTTAATTTTGGAAAGTTTGTTATGTAGAGAAAGCTGAAATGAAAATAAAGACCCTAATGAAAAAATGAAAATATATTTTAAGCCACACAGTACATATTAAATAACAGTTATCTTTTACAATATGAAATGAACCTTTTAAGTGAATAAAAACTAAAAGTTCACTAATCATAAAAATATTATATCTATATAAAATCACAATTCAGGCAACATTATTAAATGATATTATGATCAATGATGCAATATGCGTATTTCATGTATTATGATGGATGTTTTGGAAAAAAAAAATTGCCAGGGAAGATTTTATATACAATGAGAGATCTTTGTATCATCTCATTAAAATATTTATTATATAAAGCTTTATTATTTTGTTGAAAGTCAAATGGATCAAGTTAAATTAACTTTTAGGCCCAAAAAAGCTTTGTGAGACTAAATTTTACTTGCTATTTTGATTAAGCTATTTGTGTACTATAAGCTATTACTAGCTAATCACTGGTGCATTAATGTTTGTATATCTAATGTTTTGTTGTAGTACACTTGCATATCTAAGTTAACAGAGAACTCACATATCTCCTTAGGGTGACTGAAGACGCAATGACTTCCATGCATTTGACAGATGCCCCTCTAGACAAAATTTTGCAGCCCTTTCTTCACTAAGTCCCCATATTACAATGTTATGGATCACTATGCTCTCTTCCACAGGAAGCTGTTTCTCTCCTCTAAACCATCTGTGAACTAATTTTCTGACTATAGGTGCTGATTATACTTCTTAAAGTTCTATGGCACCAAGAGAGATTGAGTCCAGGATACTCCCATTTCTTTCACAAGTCCCTTCATTTCTCCTGTTTTCCCATCTGACAGTTCATGCTGAGAGATGGAGAAGATTGCTCTGGAAGAATGATGGAAGAACAGAAGGGGAAAGAAGTTGACAAGGGATGCTGTATTCTGAGAGCTCACTGCTTGAAAATAATTCATTGTACAATTAGGACAAGTATAAATACCACCTCAAAAGTAGACTATTAAAAACATTTTAAATTGATTAACAAAAGGGATGTATGCATACATAAATGGAATTATTGGAATTACTTCAAACTTAAGTAATTGCATGAATTATTTTTAAATGAAAATATGAGGGTGACTGTATTATAAAAAGTCTTAGTACTCTAAAATAGTTGACTATTTTGCTTGAAAGCGTATTAAAAGACTTTATAATATACTTAAAATCTCATGAAATTATCCCTCTTTTCCGCTCCGTGATTTCCCCCCGCTCTCTTGTCCTTATGCACATTCAAATCTATGCTATAAGATCTATTAGATGACATTCTGGAAAACTGTGAAGGAGATAGTGGGGTTGTACTGAGGAAAATAATATTCTTGTCTTGAAAGTAGCATTCTGCTCTTGTAGTAGTATGTAGTTTCAACTTAAGCAAAGATATCAAATTTCTCAGGATTTTAAAATAATTCATTTCAACTTCAAAACAAGTCACCTTGCTCGATTTGCTTCTTTCGTCATATCCCATGCCCATGTTATAAAGTTCTGACTCAGATAGGAAACAATAGATTCAGCACAAAGCATTTGAGAGCAGAATACATTAGTCAGCACACTTTCATCCTGGTGGAGGTAGACAGCAAGAAGCTTCCTCTGTAAAACAGAAAAACAGAAAATTTGAATAAAGATGGGAATTAATTACAATTTTCACAATATAAATGTAATTCATGTCTTACATCCAATCAAGCGTTTGTTTGAGTTTCAGTAGAACATAATATAAGTTTCCTTTAGAAGAGTTATAACCATTGCCTGCTGCTTAGAGATTCTGGCAGTTGAAGACTAAGAAATCAGGTTGGAGAAATTGGTATAAACTAGGGTTTTTCAATCTAAGACCTTAAACTCATGCCGATTGAGGAATTCTAGGTTTTGTTCTACATGTCTTGTTCTTTGTTCTATATGATGAGATTGAAAAATATTGATATAGGCAAAGCTACCACAATTATTCCTGGTGGAATTATTGAGTAAATAGATTAAATGTGGACTATTTGTAGAACTTTAGATTATTTTTACATTACATTTTTGTTTGTATTACAAAATGCAAACATATGATTATATATCCTTATGATCATTAATATACTGCTCAAAAAAATAAAGGGAACACAAAAATAAGACATCCTAGATCTGAATGAATGAAATATTCTTATTAAATACTTTGTTCATTACATAGTTGAATGTGCTAACAACAAAATCACACAAAAATTATCAATGGAAATCAAATTTAGCAACCCATGGAGGTCTGGATTTGGAGTTACACTCAAAATTAAAGTGGAAAAAAACACTACAGGCTGATCCAACTTTGATGTAATGTCCTTAAAACAAGTCAAAATGAGGCTCAGTAGTGTGTGTGGCCTCCACGTGCCTGTATGACCTCCCTACAATGCCTGGGCATGCTCCTGATGAGGTGGCAGATGGTCTCCTGAGGGATCTCCTCCCACACCTGGACTAAAGCATCCCCCAACTCCTGGACAGTCTGTGGTGCAACGTGGCGTTGGTGGATGGAGCGAGACATGATGTCCCAGATGTGCTCAATTGGATTCAGGTCTGGGAAACAGGCAGCCCAGTCCATAGCATCAATGCCTTCGTCTTGCAGGAACTGCTGACACACTCCAGCCACATGAGGTCTAGCATTGTCGTGCATTAGGAGGAACCCAGGGCCAACAACACCAGCATATGGTCTCACAAGGGGTCTGAGGATCTCATCTCGGTACCTAATGGCAGACAAGCTACCTCTGGCGAGCACATGGAGGGCTGTGCAGCCCCCTAAAGAAATGCCACCCCACACCATTACTGACCCACTGCCAAACCAGTCATGCTGGAGGATGTTGCAGGCAGCAGAACGTTCTCCATGGCATCTCCAGACCCTGTCACGTCTGTCACATGTGCTCAGTGTGAACCTGCTTTCATCTGTGAAGAGCACAGGGTGCCAGTGGCGAATTTGCCAATCTTGGTGTTCTCTGGCAAATGCCAAACGTCCTGCACGGTGTTGGGCTGTAAGCACCACCCCCACCTGTGGACGTTGGGCCCTCATACCAACCTCATGGAGTCTGTTTCTGACCGTTTGAGCAGCTACATGCCCATTTGTGGCCCGCTGGAGGTCATTTTGCAGGGCTCTGGCAGTGCTCCTCCTGTCCCTCCTTGCACAAAGGCGGAGGTAGTGGTCCTGATGCTGGGTTGTTGCCCTCCTATGGCCTCTTCCACGTCTCCTGATGTACTGGCCTATCTCCTGGTAGCGTCTCCATGCTCTGGACACTACGCTGACAGACACAGCAAACCTTCTTGCCACAGCTTGCATTGATGTGCCATCCTGGATGAGCTGCACTACCTGAGCCACTTGTGTGGGTTGTAGACTCTGTCTCATTGCTACCACTAGAGTGAAAGCACCGCCAGCATTCAAAAGTGACCAAACCATCAGCCAGAAAGCATAGGAACTGAGAAGTGGTCTGTGGTCACCACCTGCAGAACCACTCCTTTATTGGGGATGTCTTGCTAACTGCCTATGCTTTCCACCTCTTGTCTATTCCATTTGCACAACAGCATGTGAAATTGATTGTCAATCAGTGTTGCTACCTAAGTGGACAGTTTGATTTCACAGAAGTGTGATTGACTTGGAGTTACATTTTGTTGTTTAAGTGTTCCCTTTATTTTTTTGAGCAGTATATATTGACTGCTAATCACATTTACTGCAAGTATTTTCTGACTGATAACAAGCCATAATTTTACCAGCCTTTAAGTAAGGAGAAAAATTCAACAAAGGAATGCTATAGTCAGTGGCAGCCTATTTCATATAATATAGTTCTACTTAATTCTAATGGTATGTGCCTTAATACACATATAATGTAACCTTTTCATCAAATCTTTCTCATATTTACCAACCACATGCATTTTTGTCATAGCTCTATGGAAACAGCAGTCCTGCTAATCCTATTCTCATATTTGTTTCCTGGTTGATTAAATTTAAGTCTTTTTATCTCATAACTTTCTATGGCTGTATAATTATAATTAATTTACACAATGTATTACTAGTAAATAGAATAATTTACATAATATCCTAGAGAAGATAATTAACCATCAAATTGGCTCTGAACTACACTAAATAAATTACACTAAAATAAAATAACTAATACAAAAAGAAGGAAAAAAGCACATGTCTTAAAACAATTCTAATACCAAATAATGTCAGAAAATAAACTCAAGGAGTATGTTTTCTTTTTTCAGGAGGCTAGAACTGGAGAAGCAAAGACCTATAACTGTATCATTAAATAAATGAATAAAATTAAATACAGTTTAATTCCAGAATATCAGTTGCTGAAGAAAATTATCAAAACTCAATATACAGGCACACATAAAGTACTAGCCTGCCTTTTTTTTTCTTGAGCCATTCTAATTTCCAATTTTCAAATCTACAATTTGAATACTGTCAGTCAAGATAATGTATCTTATAATAAGGGAGTTGCCATGAAAGGCCTAGATTATTTTAATAAGACTCAAAATTCCTGAAAAAGAGGAAGATTTTTTTTTTGCCATGACCAGCATAGAATCAACATATTCTGGTAGAGGAGAAATTTGTTATTTATAGTAAACCTACTTCTGTATATGAAAATATCCCAATTTGTTAACATGTCTCTTTATCATGGATATATAATCAATCTTCCATAATATTTTTCCCAATAACAATGTCCATAGTAAGCTACTTTGGAATTTGAATTTGAAAACTAGCTTATAATACTGAGAAAAAGTATGTAATGGGTTACTGGAAAAAATGGCACTAGGCATGTCCAACTTCAAAATAGTTCTATAAATCATAGCCAAGCTATGGCTATCTTTATCCAAAAATGCCAGCTACAAATAAATTAATGGAAAGTTAGTTTATAATGAATTGTTAAAAAAAGAGTTTGGGAAAATCCTGAGATCTATTAAAGAGTATGGAATCGTTTGAATAGTAGACTTTGGAAAAGGGATTAGACATTGCATTAATGTTTGTCTCCTTTAATTTAAAAAGTTATTCCAAACTTAAGTGTACATACTGCAGAAAAGGCCACCAATAAGCCTAACATGCACAGTTCCATATAAGTGCATCCAACAATGTTGACTGAAACTAAACTTGAAAATCCAGG